TCGAGAGAAAAATTCTTCGAAAGATCTACGGGCCGATCTGCGTCGACGGTGAATATCGGCGTCGAATGAACCACGAGCTTTACAACTTATACGCAGACATCGACATAGTCAGTCGTATAGAGCTGCAGCGACTACGATGGCTAGGCCATGTTGTGCGCATGAATGAAGATGCCCCAGCCTTATATAAGGCGTGGATTTTTTTAAAGAATATTTTTCTGAGGCCTTATATGAGACGGTTTTTACCCTCAGATATTTTGAAGGCTTTCGAAAAAAACTGCAAGGTTCTTCATTTATGTATTTTTTTGTTTAATGCCTTCCCACAGACATTCACCAATATTCGAAAATCGACAACTGTGAACATCTTTCTTTTTATGTGGTTTATAAACCACATAAAAATCCATTAACAATTACTTTTTCTCAACATCTCCTCTTTCCTGCCAACACACTCACAAAGAGAGAATATTAAAACAAGTTAACACATTAATAGGTTTTCTGCCCTTCCGAATATATAATACATATCATCAATTGGTAATGGAAATGATTCAAAAAAAGGAAATACGAAAACAACAGAGGAAAACCACAGAAAAAACACAACAACTGGAAATGGAATATATCTTTGATATCTTCATTATCGAAATTCCAACAAAAAAACTGAAATGGAGAGAAATAAAATAAATAAAAAACCATCATTGTCATCATCATCACCAACAGTTCACCACAGAATCCAATAACAACTACAATCAATTTCACAACAACAATAATAATGATAATAATTTTATGTGGTTTATATTGGGATTTTATCTCCACGAAGAATAGAGAGATATATGGTATCCTGCTGATACTGATGATGATATTACAGCTACTGCTGGTTGTCCTTGTCAATGTTGTGGTGTGCTGGTTCTTTTGACAACTTTACTGATATTAAAACAGCATGAAAGATGACAGAGGACTCATGTTGCTTAATTTTTGTATATATTAATTTGATTTGTTTCAATATTCTATAGGGTTTCAGAAATCTACTTTTTGGAAACGATAAAGGGTGATTTTTAAGAGCTTTAGGAAAGATTAAAACAAAAACACATAAAATTCGGAAAATTTCATGAACTCTATATTTGAATCAATATTAAGGTTCATATAATTTAATTTTTGATGATTGTTGTGACCGTTACTGCGCCTCAAATCATCCATCCATTTTGTTTAATGTTAGCATACTCAGAGTGGATCTTCGGCCCTTTATAACTATTAGGCTGACGGCTGAGTGCAAGCGAGAAGCGTTGCTATGATATGCAGGGAGAGGATGCTATAAACCCCTGCTTGTGTATTCTTAGTTATGGCGCAAAAGTTCTCAAGTATATGTTCAGCATCTTGTCGTCAGCCTTAGGATCTGCTAGGCTTAGGCACAGTGAATTACGGCTATAGCGAACTAGTGGGGACCAATCAATTAATTTTCATATCCAAGATAAGGCAAAACATTGGCTTATCAGAAAAAAATATTTTTCAGTTAGAAATTGATAGGTTTCGTGTCTTTTACAAATTTGCACCCTCCACAATGGGTCAGTGGTCAGATATTTCACATCTTTAAACATAGTCTAGTTGGGATGACATGTAACGATGTATTAAGTTTCTATGAATTTGGTTAGACAGATATTTGTAAATCGATTCCTAATTGTCTGAAACATATTTGGTTCAAAGAAACATGGAGTCTAAAACCAATATTTCGATAAGGCATAGTTTTACCCTATCAAACCGGTTTTTTTACCTATATCATTGAGGCTTTACTATCTACAGAAGATCTCTTGAAGGAATTTATATTTCTACATTACCTTATAAAATGCCATCTGCCTTCATGAAAGTTCTACTACAGAAGATGTCTTAAGGTTCATTAAGCCTATACATTGTACCTATACAAGACATTAGGAAGGGTCTTTTGTCAATGAAAAGGCTTCAAGTTGTTGTTCACGTAGCGAACAGGGATTTTCGTCTAATAAAGATAGTGAATGTCTTGCTGTGGGTCCTTTGTGTTAAAGAGAAAAACAATTAGTTGAACTGGGATCTATTTTCGTATACAGTCCACTCGTGATAATAGATCATTCTTATTGAATGTTTATACACTAGAATAAGATAGGAGTTTTCTATTGCCACATGTGGTATGTTTGGGTGAGATTACGGGGAGTAATCTACACTACAGACTGATAAAGGGGGAGGCTATGGAGTCCTCTACCCTAGAAGATGAATCAGACAAAGACTCGGCACCGACCGAATACAAAAGGGCTCTACTAAGGAATATTGACACGTTCGTACAGAATATCGATAGTCTGGATACGTCTGTGGATATGCGGGTGATACAGTGCGCATATGACTATATAGAAGATATAGAGAGGGGTGCACCCGATGAAGTGAAAGACGATCTGTTGATTAGTGATCGGTGGATGGAGATATTGCAGAGGAAAATCATTATGGCTGGAGGGTTTAGGCCAGCTCAAGAGCAAATTGGCAGTCTTGAAACGGCATTGGAGGAGGATCGACGAAATCAGGTCATCGAAGCTTGTGACCTATATGCTATACCAAGGCTATGATGACGAATTTGGAGAAAAAAGTCGTGATGTGGCGGAGTTACGTACAAGAAATAGGAAGCTAGAAGTTGATCTTAAACGAACAGAAGACGCCAATGGCTGCCTTAAAGAAAAGGTGCAGTCGTTACAGGCTAAAGTTGAAGAGGCTAAAAACAAATGCCTCCAATTAGAAAATCAACTTGAACTTGAAAGAGAATTGGTTGCGACTGCAGAGAAAGCCCAGACAGCAGAAAAATCATGGGAGAAAATGGAAAGAAAGCTTTTGAAAGAAGCGGCTCTTTCGTAGAAGAGCCGTTAATCAGCAGAGGCCAAACACGACAAGTTGGCCAGACCAATGTTCGCCAATGCCAAGAAGAAACGGGAAATGGAAAATAATATCCCATTTGCACATATTTATACTTCACAGAAATTAGCTGCAGTCTATCCCTCCTTTATCAATTATAGAATACCTCATTAAAGGTCTAATTATAGACCTTTCCTATAAAATATCTTATTAAATAACTTTGCTATAGAAATGTTAAAGGTCTTGTTTCGAATTTTTTATATCTTTGTAGAAGAGGTCATGAGGGACCTTCGGTTTATGGAACAAACAGTTTATGGAACAAAGGAAAATGAATATAAAACCTCTTGAAAGAAAGCTTTTGAAAGAAGTGGCTCTTTCGTAGAAGAGCCGTCATTCAGCAGAGGCCAAACGCGACAAGTTGGCCAGACCAATGGTCGCTAATGCCAAGAAGGAGCTGGAAATGGAAACTAATATCCCATTTGCAAATATTTATACTTCACAGAAATTAGTTCCAGTCTATCCCTTCTTTAACAATTATAGAATACCTCATGAATGGCCTAATCATAGACCTTTCCTATAAACGATCTTATTAAATAACTTTGCTATAGAAATGTTAAAGGTCTTGATTAGAATTTTTTAGATCTTTGTAGAAGACGTCGGTTTATGGAACATAATAAGAAGTGTCTTCTTTCGAATAAAAAAAACTCTTTAAGGGCTTACTTTTTATATAAGATCTCTTGATATGTCTTCTACCTAAGAAAGACCTCATAAGGGGCCTTCTATCTATAAAATACCTCATAAAGGATTTTCTCCATCTATAGAGGCTCCTTTAAGGGTTATCTCTCTATAGAAACCTCCCATTAATGGTCTTCTTGCTGTAAATGACCTCATTAGGTGTAATCTATATACGGAACGGCTCATTGGGGGTCTTTTATCTATATCGTATGCCAAAATGTTTATTCTATGAATAAAATATCTCATGAGGCGTTTTCTATCTATAGAATCCCAATGATTGGGTTTTCTAAAGTTCTTCCACCGATAGGTGGGTAGGATGTCAGTAGGTCTATTCTGTAACTTTTTCTGTCTCTATGGAGGACATATTAAAAGGTTTTCCGTTTCCGGAATAGAAAATCATATCCATATCAAAACATGTAGGTATTTTTACAGAATGTATTTTAAAAAAAATGTGGTTAGAAAATTTGGCTAGGTCCTTCAAACGTCAAAAATTCCATATTTTGAACAGCATATTAGGTTGGGGAAAAAGAAAAGTATTATTATTATATGGACTATATGGCTTTATTTAACATGCTTCGGAATGTCCGATTTGGACACCGTTTTGTTGTATGATTTATTGCCATTTTAAAGATAACTTCATAATACCTCTCTCATAGAAGTCCTGCTCTCTACTTGCAAAAAACTCTAGAAGTTGATTTTCACAATTCTCTCTAGATACCAATCGTTTTAATGCATCCGGACTTGGCACTAAGTCCGGATGCATTAAAACTTAAAAACTTCCTAACCAAGCTCCCGAAGTTTCGGTCGGGCGAGTCACTGAAGATGTGTGAGGCCTAGGGTTGTCCTGGTGGAACACGGCACCTCTAATGTTGGCCAATTCTGGACGTTTCTGGTCAATTGATATTTTCAAACGGTCTAGTTGTTGACAGTATATATCGGAATTTAGCGTTTGGCCATATGGAAGCAACTCATAATAAATAATCCCCTTCCAGTCTCACCAAATGCATAGCCGAATCTTCCTTCACCGTTTGAGGTGCTTCACCGCCCTTTGACCGCGAACGTTTTCGCATAGGGTTATCGTATATGATCCATTTCTCATCCCCAGTCACCATCCGTTTAAGAAATGGGTCAATCCGTTTGGCCAAGGCTTCGTAGATGGAAATTCGATCCATCCTATTTTTTTAATTGGTATGGCACCCAAACATTGAGCTTCCTTTTGAATCCAGCTTTGTGTAAATGGTTTGAAACAGTTTTATGGTCTATTTTTCTCCGATTTTATCGATTGTTTCGACGACCGTCCTAATAGATTTATTATTCTCCAAACTAATATTTTCGTTTTAAATGTGAATGTCCAAGTTTTAATTCGTATTCTTAACTGATGTTAATCTTCAATACATCGACTCACTTACCTGTGTTGTAAAATGTGTGCCCTTGCGTGATCCCAACAGCGAGCCACCAAATGAGGCTTCAATCGTATAGCTATTCGTGATGCCCAGCATCCAGACCACAATGCGGCCAGTGCCCTCTTTGCTGCGTTGAATTTTAAATTTACAATTTTCGAATGAAAACTGCAAACGAAGTGAAAAGACAAGAAATGAAAGGAAATTATTAAAAAACTTTAAGAAAAATTACAAAAAGAAGGAAATAAAAAAATAATTTTTCTTTGGCTCTTGACTAATTAAAAATGTTAAGAGAGCGAGAAAGAAAAAATATGAACAAAAATCCCATCAAGAACAACAACAAGTGGAAATGATTATAACAAAATCATTAAAAAAGAGAATTGGAGAAGGGAGGGAGATAGTTGCCAGGTATAAGAGGATAGAAATTATCTCATTGAGGGAGATGAGAGGTGCGTGAGGCTAAGAGGTATCCCATGTTATGTTTTTCTTAGTCGAACTTTTTTGATGTCAGGTAAACACTACCTCCCTTCCCAATCACACCTCTGTAACTTTTCCTCCCACTTTCTCTTCTCCTTTCCCCCTTTAATTTTGCCCTTTTCTATGTGCTTTTGTTTTAGCTTGGTGTTGTGCTTGTGCTCGTATCTCGACTTACCTTATCTGCTACATTTTTGTGCAACATAAGTGGAAAAACTTGTTCGGTAAGTTTCTTTTCCGGGTTGCGTTTATTCTCACAGCCATAAATGAAAATGTTGTGGCGGCGAGAGTGTGCGTGCATATCACAGTACATGGAAACACCACATTCATCAATCAGTCTGTAAAGAGAGAAAAAAAATGGGGAAATGCATTTTGGACACGTTCCGCAAAAATGCCAAAGGTATTAGTTTTCGATAAACTCTCGGATGACCCTTTACCGAAACTCCAGTATTTGTTCCCTTCTACTTACCTTTTAATTAAAGCTTTTGTATACCATATCGATGGATAGGTCTCACGTATTACCGTACGATATTGACGATTGAGATCTTTGCCCGTTAGTGAGTTACGGGAGTTGCCCACAATGACACCATCCGGATTTAGCATCGGTATCAATTTAAAGATGAATTTATGCCGCAGGCGTTTGGCCACCGTTGAATCGCCCGTTATGAAATCCATCAGACCCTTCATCATCCACGATGATGGTGTTTCGCTTGGATGAACACGTGCCGAAATAACAATGGATTTTTTACGCTGCAATGGCACAAAAGACAACAAAAACAAGAACATGAAAAAAACGAAAGGATACAGGATTTTAGTTGTTTTCTCTATGTGTCTATTCGTCGGCTATTTTTTTTTCCTGTTTTTAGTTTCAGTTTTCCATATGAATGAGAATTCTGTTATGGATTTGTATACGGGTCGTTGATTTTGTTAGTATGGTTGTGTGTGTGTGCGTTAGATGCGTATGCAGTTTTGCTGCTGACATAGTTCGTTTAGTTTTTCTAACACGGAAACGAAAACAACAAAACTGCAAAAAAAAATTACAAATCTCTCTTGAGGTTTTTTGTTTCAACTAAAGCTCGCAAGCCTAGTGTCTGGTTATCTTTTTTTGTTCTATCACTTCTTGAATATGCGGGCCATTCGTGTCGGTGTGGCAGATCCGTTTATTTTTCTATATTTTTTTTTTTTTTTTTCAAAACGGAAACTGTGGCAAACTCTGTTAGTTTCATTGAAAATTCACAAACAAAAACAGAGGCATTTCAATTGAAAACCGTGGCATAATCCGGTTCATTTTAAACTAAAAACTATTTTAAATGTTCAGATCTCGATTTTTTCAAGGACTACCATTAGGCGTGGATTTTTAAAGAAGATTTTTTCAAGGACTACCACTAGGCGTGGATTTTTTAAAGAAGATTTTTTTAAGGACTACCACAAGGCGTGGATTTTTTAAAGAAGATTTTTACAAGGACTACCACTAGGCGTGGATTTTTTAAAGAAGATTTTTTCAAGGACTACCAAAATAGGCGTGGATTTTTTAAAGAAGATTTTTTCAAGGACTACCAAAATAGGCGTGGATTTTTTAAAGAAGATTTTTTCAAGGACTATCCAACAAGGCGTGGATTTTTTAAAGAAGATTTTTTCAAGGACTATCCAACAAGGCGTGGATTTTTTAAAGAAGATTTTTTCAAGGACTATCCAACAAGGCGTGGATTTTTTAAAGAAGATTTTTTCAAGGACTATCCAACAAGGCGTGGATTTTTTAAAGAAGATTTTTTCAAGGACTATCCAACAAGGCGTGGATTTTTTAAAGAAGATTTTTTCAAGGACTATCCAACAAGGCGTGGATTTTTTAAAGAAGATTTTTTCAAGGACTATCCAACAAGGCGTGGATTTTTTAAAGAAGATTTTTTCAAGGACTATCCAACAAGGCGTGGATTTTTTAAAGAAGATTTTTTCAAGGACTATCAAACAAGGCGTGGATTTTTTAAAGAAGATTTTTTCAAGGACTATCCAACAAGGCGTGGATTTTTTAAAGAAGATTTTTTCAAGGACTATCAACTAGGCGTGGATTTTTTAAAGAAGATTTTTTCAAGGACTATCAAACAAGGCGTGGATTTTTTAAAGAAGATTTTTTCAAGGACTATCCAACAAGGCGTGGATTTTTTAAAGAAGATTTTTTCAAGGACTACCAAAATAGGCGTGGATTTTTTAAAGAAGATTTTTTCAAGGACTATCCAACAAGGCGTGGATTTTTTAAAGAAGATTTTTTCAAGGACTATCCAACAAGGCGTGGATTTTTTTAAAGAAGATTTTTTCAAGGACTATCCAACAAGGCGTGGATTTTTTAAAGAAGATTTTTTCAAGGACTATCCAACAAGGCGTGGATTTTTTAAAGAAGATTTTTTCAAGGACTATCCAACAAGGCGTGGATTTTTTAAAGAAGATTTTTTCAAGGACTATCCAACAAGGCGTGGATTTTTTAAAGAAGATTTTTTCAAGGACTATCCAACAAGGCGTGGATTTTTTAAAGAAGATTTTTTCAAGGACTACCAAAATAGGCGTGGATTTTTTAAAGAAGATTTTTTCAAGGACTATCCAACAAGGCGTGGATTTTTTAAAGAAGATTTTTTCAAGGACTATCCAACAAGGCGTGGATTTTTTAAAGAAGATTTTTTCAAGGACTATCCAACAAGGCGTGGATTTTTTAAAGAAGATTTTTTCAAGGACTATCCAACAAGGCGTGGATTTTTTAAAGAAGATTTTTTCAAGGACTATCCAACAAGGCGTGGATTTTTTAAAGAAGATTTTTTCAAGGACTATCCAACAAGGCGTGGATTTTTTAAAGAAGATTTTTTCAAGGACTATCCAACAAGGCGTGGATTTTTTAAAGAAGATTTTTTCAAGGACTATCCAACAAGGCGTGGATTTTTTAAAGAAGATTTTTTCAAGGACTATCCAACAAGGCGTGGATTTTTTAAAGAAGATTTTTTCAAGGACTATCCAACAAGGCGTGGATTTTTTAAAGAAGATTTTTTCAAGGACTATCCAACAAGGCGTGGATTTTTTAAAGAAGATTTTTTCAAGGACTATCCAACAAGGCGTGGATTTTTTAAAGAAGATTTTTTCAAGGACTATCCAACAAGGCGTGGATTTTTTAAAGAAGATTTTTTCAAGGACTATCCAACAAGGCGTGGATTTTTTAAAGAAGATTTTTTCAAGGACTATCCAACAAGGCGTGGATTTTTTAAAGAAGATTTTTTCAAGGACTATCCAACAAGGCGTGGATTTTTTAAAGAAGATTTTTTCAAGGACTATCCAACAAGGCGTGGATTTTTTAAAGAAGATTTTTTCAAGGACTATCCAACAAGGCGTGGATTTTTTAAAGAAGATTTTTTCAAGGACTATCCAACAAGGCGTGGATTTTTTAAAGAAGATTTTTTCAAGGACTATCCAACAAGGCGTGGATTTTTTAAAGAAGATTTTTTCAAGGACTATCCAACAAGGCGTGGATTTTTTAAAGAAGATTTTTTCAAGGACTATCCAACAAGGCGTGGATTTTTTAAAGAAGATTTTTTCAAGGACTATCCAACAAGGCGTGGATTTTTTAAAGAAGATTTTTTCAAGGACTATCCAACAAGGCGTGGATTTTTTAAAGAAGATTTTTTCAAGGACTATCCAACAAGGCGTGGATTTTTTAAAGAAGATTTTTTCAAGGACTACCAGGATTTTTTAAAGAATATTTTTTCAAGGACTACCAATAGGCGTGGATTTTTTAAAGACGATTTTTTCAAGGACTACCAGGATTTTTTAAAGAATATTTTTTCAAGGACTACCAATAGGCGTGGATTTTTTAAAGAATATTTTTTCAAGGACTACCAATAGGCCAGGATTTTGTAAAGAATATTTTTTCCAGGACTACCAATAGGCCAGGATTTTGTAAAGAATATTTTTTCAAGGACTACCAATAGGCGTGGATTTTTTAAAGAATATTTTTTCAAGGACTACCAATAGGCCAGGATTTTGTAAAGAATATTTTTTCAAGGACTACCAATAGGCCAGGATTTTTTAAAGAATATTTTTTCAAGGACTACCAATAGGCCAGGATTTTGTAAAGAAAATTTTTTCAAGGACTACCAATAGGCGTGGATTTTTTAAAGAATATTTTTTCAAGGACTACCAACATAGGCCAGGATTTTTTAAAGAATATTTTTCAAGGATTACCACTAGGTAGTGGGTGTGGAAATTTTAAGGAATATTTATTCAAGGCCTAAACGAGGTGTGGATTTGTTTAAGAATCGTTTTTTATATACATATATAAGGATTCACCCAAGGATTTTATGTAATGTATGTGGCTTTCTTCCCCCACGACAATACTCATCATTAATTCAGAACTTGAAACAAAAAACTGGACAGCCAACAAGTGTTCCACAACACCAATCCATCCAGCCAACCATCCAATTGTGCAGGTTAAATACGCGGTGAATCAACAACAACAAGAATTGTTGATGCCGTCATCAGAAATGTCAAAATTTTCTGTTGAATGCAAAAACGAAAAACTTTTGTTTTCAATCTTCTTTGGCGTTTCATTGCTGAAAAACTTTTCATTCTTATAGAACGAACTTTCATCAGTCATGAGATTCACATGAGATTTGACTTTTAAGTTTGTGCTATAACATCGTTAAGCCATAAACTTTTGTTTTTGTCCCTCTTTAAAATGCCCTCCCCCCAAAAAGGAAGTTTGGTGGATGTTTCTCTGAAAAATTCCCCAACATGACTTAAATGGAAAATTCTTGGCGTGCTTTAATTCAACTTCTAGATTTTTCAATTTGTCAAAGAGAATTGAAAGGAAACCACCGAAATGAATTTTCCGATGAAAACTTTAAACCCAGGACTAATTGACTTTTGATCATAGCCACACAGTAGCAGCAGCAACTACAACAAGAACAGCAAGGAATTCAAACATTTCATATTCATTAGTTGTACGAACCCGAAGAAGTAGATGACTTAGCAGCTTTTCAAACTATTTATTGGTTTGTTAACCCCAAAAAGATTGTTCGAAATTAGAAGGAGAAGGAGGTGGTGTTGAGGGTCAACAGGGAATTATGTCGTGGCAATTATTGGAATGCTAGCAGCAAAGTTAAAACGTTTTGTGTTGTCGATTGATGCTGAACAAGGCAATCAACATCTTGTTGGGCCAGGAGTTAAATTTCCCTAATGACTAATTAAATATTAATTAAACGCCTTCGTAATAAAATATTTGTTTTTGGAATTTTTGTCACGAAATGGTGTAATATTTGTGTGTTCGAAATCGTAACGAGAATTAAATGTCCCACAGAGGAAAGAGATATAGTGGAGGCAAAACAGGGACGGGTGGAAGTTAAACTTCTAATTTTAATATTTTAGGTTTTTAGTATGAAGGCCAAGTCCGCAAACATGTTCGAGGAATTTTTTATAAGAAGACTTAGTGAGTAAAGAACAAATATCCAATGATGTTGTCTTTTTTATATTTAGGATTCTTGTCCGACGGCGTAATTGCAACCTCGAAAATGAGGTTGGATCAGGAGTTACGGTGATTGGACAACGATATCGAGGGATAATAAAGCCGATAAATGCTACACAAGCAACAAAACCATTTCTATTTTACGACAAAGGTTTCGGATCGGTTTGACGTCTACGTCAAACATTTCTAACGTCAATTCAATGTGTCGAAGAATTGTTGAGAGTATGGAGGACATAGGACAGACACATCCCGA